GGGGTGTCTCACTTGGGTAAAAAATATACATGTGCTGCCAAAATATCATTTTACTACCAATGACTGCGAAGATAACTGTTCAGTTAAAAAGCCATAACATATACAAGATAAGGCATATCTGATGGGTTGCTCTTTCATATTTTAGGAGTGTTGAAGAAAATTTTGGTACCTATAAGTAGATAATGAGACAAAAATACATAATATTTGTAAGAAATATATGTTTAGAAGTTTTTAAAATGGACATTACCAACACACATGATACTGTTTATAAATACAGGTATTATGACATTTTTAGGTTATTTTAGGTTTTAAGAACTTTAATATTATCCCTACATTGTAGACTATTTCTACTCATTCTACATTGTAGGTATTTGATATTTTGCAGGTATCAATCAGATGTTGGCATAGGGCAAAAATGTGTATCCAGATAATTTTTCTGAAGAGATTTCTGAAAGCAATAAATATATACAAAGTCAGACCTGATCACACACATGTATTATTTTTCTATATGGAATTTTGTTTGGTTCTATATGGAATTCTTATGGAAATTATATGGTTGGTGTAAACATTTTTGTGTTTTGGGATTGATTACTTTAATTTTACATGGTAATATCAAAGGTTATGAGGTTGTTACATTTTCTTTTTGAGTGCGGCATACGGGGCTACCTACAGTTTGTTGCTTATAGTTGGACACAAATGTGAAAAGATTCACCAAAAAAGCGGAATGCACAAGAGCAAAGAAAAATTATTTAAAATAGTCAATATTGTCTTCCTTGTCAGTTTCATATAATTTTTTGGAATTCATGGCTTCTATCATAACAAATTAAGCCAGGTCTTTTTGAGGTGTGTTGTCTTTCATGTTTTTACGTTTAGGGTAAATTTGTATAAGAGTACGTACTTTGTAAGAATATGTATTTGCAGTAAAAAAATTACATAAACCTGTTATTTTAAGCTGTTATATATAAATAACAGTACCTTAAGTAAATATTTTATAAGTAATGATCACATAATTATTAGTATATCAGGACTTATTTGACTTTTTTAAAACTGGGCACACAGATACTTACTCTTAAATAAACATTAGTATAAGAGTATTCGCTTTATTGCTTAAGAATATGCAGGGTAATTTCTGAAGAAATAATTCTAAACATTAAGAAACTAAGCACAGCTGATTATTGAAAAATATTTTACTTCTCTGTATACTATTTTGTGCGAAAAGTATTTGTTGAATAATGATATTAATTCAGAGTTTTAATATGGTTGATTCTGTTGGTACACAAAATATGTTCTGCTAATGTGCTAGATCTATTAGAATTGCTGTATTTTCTATTGATTTTTCTCCTCTTTGTGTCTCCCCTTTATTACTTTCCAGTCATTTTGATTTGTTTCATTGTTGTCAAATTCAAGGAAGTATTCATCACTAGTAGACCACAGTGTATACAATAATAATGATATTACTGCATACATCATGTATGGGATATGTAGGCAGCTATGGATAGGAGCCGTTCCTCCGGCGACCGCCTTGGAGTTGAAAATTAAAAATCAAAACACGGAGTAATTCTGCGGCTACCAAAACAAAACAACACCAGATTCTAACTTCAAATTGTTCTGTAACTATGACAAATATGCATGCGGAACTGCTGGTTGTAAAGTTGAGCGGTCCGGCTAGATGCACGTTGAATTAGTACGTTTCCCTTTATTACTTGTCAGGGATTATGCTTTCTTTCGTTGTAAAATTCAAGGAAGTATTCATCACTAGTAAACGACTGCTGAGTATGTTCAGTGCAATTTTCACTGTCTTGTTAGAAAATAATGGTGCTGGCACCTGTATATTCGCACGCCTCGAAGTAACTCACACAACTAATTGACAGATTTGTATTAATTTTTGAATCGTATGTACTCCTGCAATACTTCTGGGCACCTGTATTGTCACAATACTAATTTCATTCTGCAACTGCAGACCACTGCGCATTGCTCTGAGCTCATCATTGAGCCAGATAATATTTAAGCTTTGGTCAGATCTGACGCTTATCTTTTTTCCAGGGAATTACTGCTTGTAACACTCAATCAAAACTGTCAGAAATTTTACTCCAATATATTGTTACCTATGAAATTCCAATTTATCTCAAGACAACACAAGTAAAGTGTTTTGGTGTATTTTGGTGAATTAGTGCTTTATTTTGCTGTTATAACACCAAATTTTCACACACCCCTCTTAATCAGAGAACATGTCAAAGTAATTCATAAAACCAATCTGTGGTCTTTTTTTATTTAATTCTATAGGAAATTTGATCTCCTGGCTTAGATAGTTCGATATACTGAGATCCATAACACCTGCTGAAAGGAATCTACATAAAATTTAATAAAAAATATTATCTAGGAAAGCATTCTTTCTTGTAACTGTAGTTGTTGTAACGCTTGGACAAAGACAAAACCATTGAGAGCGTTAGAGAGAGGAGGACACACTGATTTGTAACAGAGTGTAAGTGTATCACCAACGTTTCTCAAAAGACCTATTGTATTTAGGTTTTCCAAAATTTCTAAAAAGTTATTAAAACAACCTTGTCGTGTATCATTTGCACGTTTTTTTAAAACGTCTTTCCTTTTTGCACAATGCGGTATATACGTGGGGTAAATGAAAACACCTGGAAAACTTCCAGGTGTTTCAAATCAATATTATCAACTTAACTTCAAAATCAATGTGTCAACAGATCATTTGTTTGGTTTGGTTTGGCAACATTATCTAAAAAACTGACGTAACACAAAAAAGTAGTTTCGAGAAAAACACATTTTGATATTTTATTTGATATTTGGTTTCTGTTAGGTCCGCTGATGGGCGAGATCGAACCATCCAAGATACAACAACAACACGCTCTTTATGGTTTGGGGTCTTTTAGTTACGTCACGGCGTCGAATTGAAAGACGTTGGGCACAAACATTACTGGCTTTTATTTAACATAATTTACAGCGATTACTAACATTATATTAGCGAAATACGTGAACAGGATTGAGAAGAAAAATGGCGCCGAGACTTGACGTGGCGGACGAGTTGGACACCGAATAGCCGGGGTCTGATTCTTCTTCGTTTTCCTTGCGTTTTGGCTTTTACAGTTGACACGAGAAAATTTGGCGTGGCTGGATTCCCTGCTTCCTTCGTTGGCCGTCTGGCCTGGAACTTGGTAGAAGCGCCCATGGCGTAGGCGCCACTCATTAGATTTTACTCTTTGTGATCGATGCAAAAAATAGTGAACTTTCATGACTCAAAAAATGACACTTTTTACATTCAGCGTGATTTACTTTTTGATAAACCTATAAAAATAAAACTAGTGTAACTCATGATCAAGTTTTATTAATACACTTGGTATAAACTGTTAAAACTTGAATTATTTCTTTGCTAGTCTTGGATAACTAATCAACATTTCAAATCTTAGCAGATAAAAAAACTAACCATGAAAATCATTATGAAAAATTAGGAAAAGATAACGATATGAAAATACTAATAAACTTTCACACTTTTATAAAATGTGCCATAAAAGTTTGGTATGTGGTTATTTGCGACTAAACTTAGAAGGTCTCGCTTTTTATTTTGGCATTGAAACTAATCTCATCAGTTTCATATCTGTGAGACTCATTTCGTTTATAACGTATGGTTTGACATTCTTTTTCACCTTTCGATTATTATTACAGAAAAAGATGTCTAATATTGATACTAATAATTTATAACAAAATTGTTGAATAGGTACTCCAATAGAAAATAAATAGAGAAATTTGTAAATAGTGTCAAGTCTATATATCTTAGACATCGTACTGTTTTGTGTTGAAGACTTGTTCTTAACTCTGAAGCCATATTGGCATCTTTTTGATCTGTTCTTGATAAATTGGGATAGGAAGTGCTTCTTTGTGTATATTTTATTTTTCTTTTATGTATAAGAAAAATAAACTTCTGGCACATTGCTAGATCTAGGCATTGCATGGGTATTTTATGGCGAGGAGGAGATGTAGGATGTATTTAAATCATTAGATAACTTCGTACTACATTGTGTCATGGCTGAAGAAGATGTACTTGATTCTGAAGCAATATTGGTTTCTCTTAGATCTGCGCATACTAAATTAGAATACGGGGTGCTTTTTGCTGCCATAAATTCCTATTCAGATAAAACAATTCTTAATTGTTTCTTGGTTTGTGCTGTAAAAACTACGATAAAATCTTATCGCCCAACCGTTTTGGCCAGCCCTTGGCAGGCGTACAATATTATAGCTCTAGCCAGCAATGGATAAGTACAGGCTGATAGAAGAAATGGTATAATTCAATGCATGAAGTTTCCTTTCTTTTCTTTATCAATAGATAATATGTAAAGTCCAAATAATATTTTGTGTCCTGTGTTTAATATTAAAATGCGTGGCATGTGGAAACATCTCAGTTTTCTTAAGGTACAATTTCGAAGATGGCGACTGCGATCGACATCATTTGCAAGTGGCAGACATTGAAATCATTAGGTGACATTGTACTATGCTATGACATGGCTGAAGACGTTCGATTCTCACGCCATATCTATTAACTTTTTGATCTATTCTTGATAAATTATGTGTATAATAAAAATAAACCTTTCTAGAAAAATAAAACACTAAATCATCACAATACACCAAAACACTTTTACTTTTACACTGGACGCGCGTTTCGCTAACCATGTTAGCATCATCAGCAGATGATTATAAACGGTGTTTAAAAAATGGTTTAAAAACCAAAACACTTTTACTTTTACACTGGACGCGTATTTCGCTAACCACGTTAGCATCATCAGCAGATGATTATAAACGGTGTATAAAAAATGGTTTATAATCATCTGCTGATGATGCTAACATGGTTAGCGAAACGCGCGTCCAGTGTAAAAGTAAAAGTGTTTTGGTGTATTGTGGTGATTTAGTGTTTTATTTTGCTGTGTAACACCAAAGGTTCCAACCCTCAACTGTAACATTTCTAGCTCTAGGCATTTTTCCAGGGTACTTTTTGGCAACGAGGAGATATGGGATGCATTTAAGATATTCGATGACTTCGTACTGTATTGTGTCATGGTTGAAGATGTACTTGATTCTGAAGCAATATTGGTTTCTCTTGGATATGCGTATACTAAATTAGAATAACGTGGTAGATTTGCGTCCTTGTGTTATAGATGAAATGGCGTTTGCAGGTTTAGGACCATGAATTAAACAACCTTTTTTTAAAAATTGCCGACGTTTCAACGTGTATTTTCGTCTTTATCAAGGCTATTTTTGATAAAGCTGTTTTTGATAAAGACGAAAATACACGTCAAAACGTCGGAAATTTAAAAAAAAAGTTGTTTAATTCATGGTTCTAAACCTTCGAACGCCATTTCAACTAAATTAGAATACGAGGGGCTTTTTGCTGCCATAAATTCATACTCAGATAAAACAATTCTTAATCGTTTCTTGGTTTGTGCTGTAAAAACTGCTATAAAATGTTATCGTCCAACCGTTTTGGCAGGCGTACAAGATTATGGCTCTGATCAGGAATAAGTACAGGTTGATAAAGAAAACCGATAACGAAAACCAATTTTTTTTTGTATAATTCAACGATCTAATTGATTTTAATAAAATATGAGAGAAGTATATAAATTTTAGTTCTTTAAATATAAGCCCAAACTATGTTTCCGTTAATAATATGTAAAGTTTAAATAATATTTTGTGTCCTTTGTTTAATAATGAAATGCGTATGTGGGAACATTTCAGTTTTCTTAAGGTACATTTTAGAAGATGGTGACTGCGATCAACATCAATTGAAAGTGAACTTTGAAATCATTAGATGACATTGTACTATGCTATGACATGGCTGAAGACGTTCGATTCTGAAGCCATATTAGCATCTTTTTGATCTGTTCTTGATAAATTATGTGTTTAAGAAAAATAAACCTCTGCCACATTTCTAGATCCAGGAATTTTTTTGAGGGTACTTTTTACCAAAGATGAGATGTGGGATTCATTTAAGGTATTCGATGACTTCGTACTGTATTGTGTCATAGCTGAAGATGTACTTGATTCTGAAGCAATATTGGTTCCTCGTGGATCTGCGCATACTAAACTAGAAAAACGTGGTAGATTTGCGTCCTTATGTTACAGATGAAATGGCGTTCGCAGATTTAGGACCATGACTTAAACAACCTTTTTTTTTAATTGTCGACGTTTCGACGTGTATTTTCGTCTTTATCAAGGCTATTTTTGATAAAGCTGGTTTTGATAAAGACGAAAATACACGTCAAAACGTCTGAATTTAAAAAAAAAGGTTGTTTAATTCATGGTTCTAAACCTGCGAACGCCATTTCAACTAAATTAGAATACGAGGCGCTTTTTGCTGCCATAAATTCGTACTCACATAAAACAATTCTTAATTGTTTCTTGGTTTGTGCTGTAAAAACTGCGATAAAATCTTATCGTCCAACCGTTTTGGCAGGCGTACAAGATTATGGCTCTAGCCAGGAATGGATGAGTACACGTTGATAAAGAAAACAGATAACGAAAACCAAACTTTTTTGGGATAATTCAACGATCTAATTGATTTTAATAAAATATGAGAATAGAAACGTGGGAGAGAATGAGAGAGAACATATAGTCCTTTCAATATAAGCCCAAACTATGTTTCCTCTCTTTCCATTTCAAATATGTAAAGTCCAAATAATATTTTGTGTCTTTTGTTTAATAATGAAATGCGTGGTATGTGGGAACATTTCAGTTTTCTTAAGGTACAATTTAGAAGATTGTGACTGCGATCGACATCAATTGCAAGTGTCAGACTTTGAAATCATTAGATGACATTGTACTATGCTATGACATGGCTGAAGACGTTCGATTCTGAAGCCATATTAGCATCTTTTTGATCTGTTCTTGATAAATTATGTGTTTAAGAAAAATAAACCTCTGCCACATTTCTAGATCCAGGAATTTTTTTGAGGGTACTTTTTACCAAAGATGAGATGTGGGATTCATTTAAGGTATTCGATGACTTCGTACTGTATTGTGTCATAGCTGAAGATGTACTTGATTCTGAAGCAATATTGGTTCCTCGTGGATCTGCGCATACTAAACTAGAAAAACGTGGTAGATTTGCGTCCTTATGTTACAGATGAAATGGCGTTCGCAGATTTAGGACCATGACTTAAACAACCTTTTTTTTTAATTGTCGACGTTTCGACGTGTATTTTCGTCTTTATCAAGGCTATTTTTGATAAAGCTGGTTTTGATAAAGACGAAAATACACGTCAAAACGTCTGAATTTAAAAAAAAGGTTGTTTAATTCATGGTCCTAAACCTGCGAACGCCATTTCAACTAAATTAGAATACGAGGCGTTTTTTGCTGCCATAAATTCGTACTCACATAAAACAATTCTTAATTGTTTCTTGGTTTGTGCTGTACAAACTGCGATAAAATCTTATCGTCCAACCGTTTTGGCAGGCGTACAAGATTATGGCTCTAGCCAGGAATGGATGAGTACACGTTGATAAAGAAAACATAACGAAAACCAAACTTTTTTGGGATAATTCAACGATCTAATTGATTTTAATAAAATATGAGAATAGAAACGTGGGAGAGAATGAGAGAGAACATATAGTCCTTTCAATATAAGCCCAAACTATGTTTCCTCTCTTTCCATTTCAAATATGTAAAGTCCAAATAATATTTTGTGTCTTTTGTTTAATAATGAAATGCGTGGTATGTGGGAACATTTCAGTTTTCTTAAGGTACAATTTAGAAGATTGTGACTGCGATCGACATCAATTGCAAGTGTCAGACTTTGAAATCATTAGATGACATTGTACTATACTATGACATGGCTGAAGACCTTCGATTCTAAAGCCATATTTGCATCTTTTTGATCTGTTCTTGATAAATTATATGTATAAGAAAAATAAACCTCTGCCACATTGCTAGATCCAGACATTTTTCCAGGGTACTTTTTACCAAAGAGGATATGTGGGATGCATTTAAGATATTCGATGACTTCGTACTGTATTGTGTCGTGGCTGAAGATGTACCTACTTGATTCTGAAGCAATATTGGTTTCCCTTGGATCTGCCCTTACTAAATTAGAATACGAGGCGCTTTTTGCTGCCATAAATTCGTACTCAGATAAAACAATTCTTAATTGTTTCATGGTTTGTGCTGTAAAAACTGCGATAAAATCTTATTGTCTAATCGTTTTGGCCAGCATACAAGATTATAGCTCTAGCCAGCAATGGATAAGTACAGGCTGATAGAAGAAATGGTATAATTCAATGCATGAAGTTTCCTTTCTTTTCTTTACCAATAGATAATATGTAAAGTCCAAATAATATTTTGTGTCCTTTGTTTAATAATAAAATGCGTGGTATGTGGAAACATCTCAGTTTTCTTAAGGTACAATTTCGAAGATGGCGACTACGATCGACATCATTTGCAAGTGGCAGACATTGAAATCATTATATGACATTGTACTATGCTATGACATGGCTGAAGACGTTCGATTCTGAAGCCATATTAGCATCTTTTTGATCTGTTCTTGATAAATTATGTGTATAAGAAAAATTAACCTCTGTCACATTGCTAGATCCAGACATTTTTCCAGGGTACTTTTTGCCAAAGAGGATATGTGGGATGCATTTAAGATATTCGATGACTTCGTATTGTATTGTGTCGTGGCTGAAGATATACTTGATTCTGAAGCAATATTGGTTTCTTTTGGATCTACCTTTATTAAATTAGAATACGGGGCGCTTTTTGCTGCCATAAATTCGTACTCAGATAAAACAATTCTTAATTGTTTCTTGGTTTGTGCTGTAAAAACTGCGATAAAATCTTATCGTCCAACCGTTTTGGCCAGCATACAAGAGCCAGCAATGGATAAGTACAGGCTGATAGAAGAAATGGTATAATTCAATGAATGAAGATTCCTTTCTTTTCTTTACCAATATATAATATGTAAAGTCCAAATAATATTTTAATACGTTAATTAGTCTTATCGCATCAGTTATTGATAAGTTTAATATTTTATCTTTTGTGACCTTCAATATGTGTTACAATTTAATACAACTACAAACTACTATGATTATAATAAGGATTGTTGTGGTTCCTAACACCTCACCTAAGAGGTTAATGCGGATGTGGCTATTGAGCAAGTCATCCCACCAATTTGACTTATTGTTATGTCCACTCCAGGTGCAGCATGAGTCAATAAATCATTAATAGAGCCCTGCTCAATGATTGTGATATTAATTCCAACAATAGATTCTTCGCATAGTATTGATGATGATATCTCAAACATGTGAAATTGACAGTCACTGATTGACAGGGGATTGAGATGTTAGTGTAAGAATCCCTACGACAAAATTCAGTTTTTATGCTAGCTATGAACGAAAATTGACTTCCTTTTACACCCCAAATGTGTATTTCATTGGATCCACAGTTTGGAAGGCTGTCTCTTTCTACTATTCTTATAGGTGATGATATCGTGACGACCAGATTGTTCTCCTTCTTGACAATGAGGCTGCCCTTATTGAGGGAAATTGAGTATGAGCCATCTTGCATTGGTAGTATGTCACACTTCTTTTCTGTTTCCTTGATGAATGATACACTGAAATCACAGGTTGGGTTGTTCATGACAGATGAGGCACAATTTAAGAAATTGTCTGCTAATGTGAAATATCCTTCACTATTAAATTGAAAGTCGCCTAATGATCCAGCCTCAGGGTGCAGTGACGGATATAAGGATTCGGGGCCCCCCCGCGAAACTTTTTATGGGGACCCCATAATAATAATTATTATTATTATGAGCACGTATAAAGAGATAACGCTTCTATATTTCACATGTACAAATAATTTGAGGGGATATAACAAAATAGTAGTCATTATTAGTACATAATATATTTTTATTTCAGACAAAACCTTTTTTTGTTTTTACAAAAGTATCTACTAATTCCTCAATATTTATGTTTCGGGCTCTCTCAACCTCGATGCCAATGATCGCTAAATAGCTCAAACGACTTTCACCCATAGCATTTCTCAAAAAAGTTTTGATTAACTTTAATTTGGAGAACAAACGCTCAGCACTAGCTGACGTTACAGGTATTGTCACAAATAACTGCAAAGCTGTGCAAAGATTGGGCAGACTACTGCAAAGCAAACTATTTTTATTAAATATAAACTCGCACAGTTCCCAAATACTTCATATTTTTCCAATGTCATCAGAAAATAGAAATTGAAATTGAAAAATCTCATTTTCTAATTCTGAAGACAAGTCGTTTCCGTATTTAATAATCAAATCGTCTCGCAGTTTTTAATTAGATCGTCTTTAGTCATATTACCTAATTTGCTAGTGTTTAAAACCATAAACAGCTGTACTGCATAAAGGGCTGTTCTCAAAACCGATAAATCGGTTAGAAAGTTGAGCAATAATAATATCTAGAGAAGCGTAATATGCAGTAATTTTAAATTTTTGAAGTTCGGAAATAAAAACTGTGTCTGAAGCAAGTTCGTCGAAAAATTGTTTCGCCACTTTCTGTCGGCGAGTTTTCAATTTTGGATC